TCCTGCTGACCTGGAGGGAACAGAGCTGTACTCCCCTGAACTTGTACTCTTGCCACAGGTTCTGGGAACAAGTACAGTCAGTGCAGGGATGTGCAATACCAAGGAGATGGAGTGAAGGAGATGCTATTCTTGCAGCTCTCTCCTCCCTTGGATCCTGTCTCAAGCTTTCTGCTGCTGCTTTTGCCCCTGCATTAGGTTCTATTTAAACATACTGTGACTGGCCCAATAGGCATTCTCTAGTAGCCATTTCTGCCACCCTTGTTCTTGGTTGTTGTCTTTAAACAAGCAAAAAATTAAAGGGCAGGCTCTGCCATCTTCCTCCTGGCATTAGGCCCTTAAAACAGCATAAATGAGTGGGTCTTTGCTCACAGACAGAGCTCTGACAGAAGTGGGACCAGCGTGTCCCCTCAAAAGCAACCAGACAACATAGAGGGAGTACTTGGGGCCTGAGGGGATGGGCAAAGCTAGTGCTACAACATAAAGGAAGTCTTGTGTTAATGCCTCAAATACGGGCATGTGCTCTGAACACCTGGGCATTGAGTAGTTTTTTGCATTCATCTGACCTCAAGGTAGCAGCACTGCTTCTTTCAAGATTAGGATTTGTTCATTCAGGTGTGAATTTGGAGCTGTTCTAATCACCTGTACTGCAGGTTTACGGAGCAAGGACAATTTTAATTGCCCTCTTTTTCACAAACCCAAATTTGTGTTTGTCATTCTGCTGCAGCAGCAGAATGACTCTGAGCCAGCAGCCAGTAAGCGCACACACACACCTGGAGATGGTCTTGCTCAGGGTCACTCAGAGCCCTAGGTTAGTAAAGTTCCTGCAGAGGCAGGGTCTCAGCAGCATCCGCCAACTGTTCATTTTAAAACACATCTGCTGTAGCAGGGCAAGTGCCTGTGAGAAACCCCAGGCCGAGGCTTGGTAGTACAAAGGCTGGGAAAGAGCCAGATAAGTACTATATTGTTTCAACTATTAATTGAGCCTGCACATAAGTTGACACTGCATTTTCAGGTGCAGTTTAGGAAAAGGAGCTTTTTCCCTCCCAGAATAAGTCAAGTTGCTACAAAGACATTAAATGGTTATTGCTTTTACCAAATGCCACAGGTGTGGGATCATCAAGGAGAAGACACAAAGGGCTAAATTCACTAAACTCAAAACTGCACAACACATTGCTGATGTTGGGTTAACTCTACACAAAGTCATGTATGACTTATGGTTCATTTGGAGATGGAAAAAATAGAAGGTAGATTCACAGCAAGACAGCATGACAATTCCTGAGAATGGTAGCATCTCTTGGGAATCTCCAGATTCCCACCTGCCAATGCTGTGCTTTCCTGTGGGGGATTTTCCTCAGTATACCAGAAACCCTACAACCACTGTAATGTATGTACCTCTCACGTTCAACAATAAGCTGCTGTGCAGACACACCATCTGCCCACAGAAAATAGGACAATCCTGAAAAGTAATCATCAGTATCAGGAACTGAATGGTTTCTGAGAGCATTACTTCAGGTGAGTGTTGGAAAGCT